TAGTTTAATTAAGGAACACTTTACAATCCATCAAGTTACTAAAGAAATTAGGAATTGGCGAATGTTTCAACTACTTCAGAACACCAGTAAAGGTTCAATTCCTGAATAGTTCCAAGCTTTAATCAAAACTTTTCCAAGTAATAGGATAGACCAACTCATGAGTACGTGGAAAAGAGATTGGACAAAGTGGGAACCAGAATATATTGCAATTAATCCAGACTATAACAAATAACAAAAACTATGGATAATTACAAAGAAAGCTGGGTATCACATAATTTGAGGAAAACTACAATAGACAAAAGTAGGATACAAAGTCAACATCAAACACTTCAACTGCTATAGTAATAATAATACTCAAATGATGATATTAACAAGATACCTAGGATGTCCAGAAGGTACAAAACAAGAAGGGGGATGTATATTAGAAAAAGATATGAAAGATATATATGAAGTTTCATATCTCAATACAAGAAAGTCAATCAGAAAAGCTCAAGAACCAACAATCTCCTGCTTCAAGGCATCACTAGAAGGGACAATGGAAAAGATTACTAACATGGATCCAAATTCTCAAACCTTAGTTCCAACCAATATAGTGAATTGGGTAGATATCAAAAGATAGGAAGGGGTTATTATTAGAGACAACATTATAGAAGAAGTATATCAGGACTACCTAATAGAAATACTTTAATATAATCTGGGATCCAATATTAAAAAACTAATCTTTTACTCCAATGGATCACTTATTAATCATGGAAAGAAAGAAATTAATATGGGAGTAGAATGGATCCAGATGAAAGATATGGATAAAAAAAGTAGATTTCAGACAAGAGTAGACAGTTGGCCCTTCTCAACATATGCTGAACTTGTAGCAATTATCACAATACTTTTGTTGGTTCTAGTGGGTAATGATGTGAAAATCCATACAAATAGCTAGGCCTGTATCTCCAAGTGGAAAACAATAGAAAGAGAAGATCCAAAGCAAACTCACAAAAGATGTTAAAAGAAAAAAACTGGTCTCTATAGGTACGAATATTAGAATTGGTAAAGAAAAAGACCATAAACCTGCAACTTATCAAGGTTAAGGTATATTCCAATGATCCCTACAATGAAGAAGCAGATGTCCTAGCTAAAGAAGCTCTGAAACTTCCAGCAATAAAATGAAAAGAGCTGACCTCATACAAGATCATCACAGAAATTAGATGACAAGAAAAGATACTGAATAACCCAATAAGACAGTTTGTCAAAAAAGTAAACAATAAAACAACTGTCTTCCAGTGAACACAACAAAACAGAACTGAAAAAAGATAAAGTCACCAAATTATAGAATAGTAAGATCATACTTGAAACCTTGTATAGGAAAGAATAAAAGAAGAACACACCTGGAATACTTCCTTTAAACAATCGCAGTAAAAAAGCTTCCTCATAAAGCTAATGAATGATGAGCTACCAACTCTGAACAAGCTGACAACTAGAAGGCTTAACCTTTATAAACAAATGAAGTGTATTGCATGCAACCAGCAAAGTGAAACCTTCAAATATTTATTAGAGTATTCAGAATACAAAAAACAATTATAGGAAGCATAGAATAAAAAATAAGATGGGATTCTTAGAGACTTCAGAGGGCTCTTACAAAAGAGAAAAAAAAATCAAAAGAAAAATATGCAAGGTTGATTATTCATGATGAAAAAAAAATGGTCAATATGGATAAATGGATCACTAAACTGATAGAACAGACCTCAAAAACCAGTCAGGACACTCTAAGCTTTTGCACAGGGTTAATAAGAAGAGATCTAATCCTGACAATAGCAGATCTGAAATGCCATGGAAAAAGAATTGGTAATAAGGCAAGAAGATAGATATTAAAGATGCAAAGAAGAGTGTGCAATCAAATAAGAAAAAAGATTTGGAATAAAAGATATGAAAAGATAATCATATGAAAATATTTACAAGGGATCTGCAGAGTAGAAAAAATTAACTGACCCTCAGACACATATGGCTTAAAACCATCAGTTCTCAAAAGTAAAGATCCTCTACTAGAGAAAGGAACTTAAGAAAATGAAAGCTTAAAAGAAATTCTACTCAAAGGTATTACTTATGGAATGAAGTGGTTTGGTTTTAAGCTTGGTCAGAATAATGGATAGTGATCTGCAATGATGATTTGTAGGCAATGAAGTTAAAGGTTAGAAGGATATTCATCTAAACCATTAATGGAGTGATAAATCACTTCTGAAGTTGTACTTAGAGTTTTGGTATATTAAGACAAAACAGTGATGAGTGAGTTAGATAAAGTCTTGGCTTTAGCAAATTATTTAAAATATACAGTATGTAAATGTTTAATAAAGCTCATATATCTAGTCTGATCTAGGGTTTATAAAAAAAAAAAAAGTAATGAAAGAGTAATATACTATATAAAAAATTTATAAAAAATATCTTTGCATAATTGAAAAGAGTAATTAAAACTTTTTTTGTTTAAAGATAATATAAGTTCTAAATATACATTTATTTTATAGATATTATTGTAAATAAAATATTTTTGCAAAATAAATAAAAATTAATATAAAAAATTTTTCAATCCAGTTTATGTAAGAAATTTAATATATATTATAAAATATATTATATAAAATAATAAGAAGATATATAAAGAATAAAATAAAAAATATATAAAGATCTATGAGTCATATAATTGTTATTTACTATAAATCAATAAATTAACCAGTCAATGATCAATATTTTTATGGTAAAATTTGAATATATCCCCTTTATCTTAAAATTTTTTGATTTTAATGCTAGTGAAATTAAGATTTTACAAAAAGAATTTTCAATATTAATAGTGTTACAATAAGTATTTTAGATAAATCTTTAACATATTAGCTTCTTTCCTTATAGAATAATAATAGGTTGCTTGATATGATAGACTTGGGCCTTAGAGAGTACTATAACATATTAAATCTATATTTTATTTTCTAGTTAGTTTGTTATAGTAAAGAAAAGTATTTATACTAGATGGTCATGTAATTATTCTATTTTGATTTGGTAAAATATAAATAATTTGTTTTTTTTTTATACTATTCAGTAATCTGTAAATTCTTAGATAGTATAAGTAGTTATTTATTCTAGTGGTCCCTAGATATTATCTTTATTATAATAAAACATATGCCATAATGTATGAATGAGCTAGTGCTTAAAAAAAAAAAAAAAAAAAACTAAAGAATTGAAATAAAACAGATGTTCTGATCATTTTAGCTTTTTAACCTTGTATAAAGAAAATATTTTGGAGAAATTATTATATAAAATAAGAAAGAACTAGCTGAAACTTTCAATAATACTTACTAAAATCTTAATATTTTATTATAAATAATTTGTGATAATTTTTACAAATTCAAGTATAGGATATATATCTCATGTAAAGTTTTTTTTTTATTGAAAAAGTTATAGAACATTGACTTGTTTAAACATAAAAACATATACTGTAAATAAATAATGAAATAGAACAATTTTTTCAGATAAAATCCCTTTTCATATCTTCTGTAATATGACGCGGGTTTGTTATAAAGCTAAAAAAGCAATATTAATTAGAAGAATTATAAAACACTTATTCAAAATTCATATGTAGGTTTTGTTTTGTAGCAAAAAAAGTATTGGCTTTCATATTTTTATAGAAACTATAACTGGCAAATTCTATTACTCAAAACTTATTTTAGCAAGCTAATAGAGTTTTTAGGATAATGATCCTAAGTATTATTAAAAGCTTACAATCAAATTGCTTATAGAGACAATGTCTATATGTACTCAATTGGTCATTCTCATCCTTAGATTTCAATCCAAACTAGAAGTTGGGAACTCTTAAAAAAATGTTGAGAAGAGTGCTAACTTTGAGATTTACGTATAAAAAAAAAAAACCATGTGGATTATGCCATAAATTAGTATGATCGATGTCTAAGTAATAGGTAATAATGGGAGTGAGAAGAAATATTAATGTTAGGTAAGTGATGTATGGTTACAATTTCACGTTCTAAAAATAAAAATTTAATAGATTTATTTAATCATTATTTTATCGCGTAAACCGGGACACGAAAATTTTTTGCAGTGACCGTATATGCGAAAATTAGGTAAGTAAGTAATACCAACTTACTATAATCGGTTGGCACCGCCGATTATAATTACGTAGTTGGTCGCAATCCTCGGTCACATGACCAAGGCGAAAGTCGCGAGCGTCCTAACATGTTTTAGCCCCTACAACGAAATTATTGAATTTTCGAAAAGTATAAAAATCACGTTTAACTTAAGCACTTCGCGCATTTTGACAATAACTCAAATATTTAAGTCAATTTATTCAAGCATCAATATATTCATTGAACAACTTAAAAGTACAAAAGGTCAACCCGCTATTGTATAACTTCTCAGAAAACAATATCTAAAGGTTGAAAACCAGGAAATTACTCCAGATCATTCGAACAAGACATCTGCATTAAAAATCATACGATATTCGTTAAAATTTGTTGCACGTGACCGACTCAAGATTTCGTACATCGGTTCTTAATAAATAAATGTTTTTCACTTACAGTAATAGCACCACAAGGGTATGACACTGAATTCCCGCTCGACTAAACATTCGATTTTATTGAGACAGCATTGTAAACCACCGTTTTTTCGTATTTTGAAAGCAAATCAAATGCGTGCATATATTGTACTTGGTCCATTTATACAAGCCATTATGCAATGTTTTATTCCAAATTAGTTAAATTATTGCAATAAATTTCCTTTAAACGGAACCAATACATACCTTCCTTTGAATGCAAGAAGTGCGGATTTGATTTCAATGGCGTGCATTCAGGGGTTTGGATTCATTCATTTTCTTTAAACTATCATAATAAAACCTTTATTTGTTATTTTATACTTTGAGAATGTTACCATTGCGAAAACTTATTGTAACTTTAATGCATATTCGAGAAATTATAAAATTCGTTAATTAATTTTTTTTCATTGGGGTATCTGAAAAAATGACCTTTTCTAGATCTTTTAATGTACGCTTGGCATTTTTGACTTTCATCTTTCTGGTTTTTATCCAAAAAAGCTTTGCAAAAAAGAACGAGACCTTTACGCAAACTTTTGCTCGCGAAAACAAAGAAATTGTCGATAAAATTCTTTATAATTCGTATTTCAACGCAATAGCAACTGGTAAAGCCACAAATGCCGAGTTCGAGTACGATATTATCCAGAATCATTATTTCACCGTTCTTTGGGCGAGATCTTTGGGATATAGCTTAATCAAAGCCCCTGTACCAGTCCCAAAAGATTGGGGACTTGGTAATGTGACGCGAGAATATCTTATAACTTACCTGTCCAGTTTTCTAGACTTAATCGAGACTTATAGTACAGTCTTGGAGGGGCTCGCGGTAACACACAATTTTAATATCTACGGCCAACCGTTCTCAGCAGTATTTAAGACTGATGCAGAATACATGGTTAAAGTTGCCAAGACCTTGCCTTTTGAAGCATGGATAGCCACAAATTGGGCAACGAATCAGTTTTATTACGATGGCATTTCGATTTCCCAAGCTTCCTTAAAAAAGAACGGATACACTTATGAGTTTCAGGACTACATCGATTTGAGTGCTTCCCCCTTGGTCAAAAATGTAACCGAACAACTTAGATCTTTCGTAGACTTAATTTATAAATCAAAGAGAGCGGATAGAAAGTTAGCAACTGAAGTTATGATACAACAATTAAAGTATGATCGTGCGTATTATGAATCGGTTGTAACTGGTTAATTATTTATAATTGATTCAAGTAATGTATTAATTATTTATAATTGATTCAAGTAATGTATTAATTATTTATAATTAATTGTTTGCTTCAATAAAAGCATTCTCTCCTTGGAAAATAGTTGTCACATGTCCCTATTAATTTTATTCAAGGTGACAGAGTTTTTTTTTTTTTAATAATTTGCAATAAAAACCGTAGAGACAAAGTCTATCGCGAGGATTTGATGTACGATGACGTAATTCTCTGCTGCCGACCTTGTTTAACAATTTCAATTTGAACCCGGCTGTGCGCATCCACAACTTGTTGGTGATGTAAGCGCGTCTGTGTACACCTCACAACTTGACACAGCTGCCTACCACGGCAAGGCTTGATGGTTTGTTATTAAAATACGACTGCGTACTCCCCGTGACGTTAGTTATTAGAGCATGGCTGTGCACTCCCCACAATATGCCAAAGGTGCGAGTTTTAGCCACAATGCATCCATGTCTTTCCAAGATATCACTTTACGCCGGACATGAAGCGTCTTCGTCAAGATAGTTGCTTATTGCTTAACATTCGTATGACAGAAGCACCCTAATAGTAACTGATAGCATTAAAAATTTGATAGATTTTGCTGTCGGAAATTATTAAATGTAAAAACGTACATATTAAATATGAGATCACAGATCATGAAGCAATGGATGAAGAGAATAAGAAATTGATTCTTTGACGAATACTTCAATAGGATAACAGACTTTCAACGTATAACGCTGAAATCATTGTAACTAACATGCGTCGGGGGATTTTATGGAATGTTAATTCTTAATAAACGATAATTTATAATTACAAGTTTTTTAACATACTGAGTCCAAATATCTTATTCGGGGAAAGCCTTGTTAAACTAAATCCAAGCAGTAATCATTCATTAAGTTACAAAATTTTCAAGGATTTTTGTATTATAAAAATCAGTGGCGTTCACTTGATCGCCAAATTACAAAATCTATTGAGATTCTAGAACGATCAAAATTGCTGCAGTACGATAAGTTATAAAACTCATTTTTTATACCCCTTGACAAAGGAAATATACTGTAGCTGTTATAATGAATAAATCAATAATCTGTGAACAACAACCGCCACACTTTAGAAGTGGAAAAAGAATTCCAAGATTACAGAATCGAATGGGCTAGTCAAAAGAAAAATAAAGTTAAAAAAATCAATAGAACTAGACAAACCTCTAGCCATCTGTGGCAGGTATATTCATTCTCTATCCCTGATGTATAAACACAACACATCTTTTCCCTCGTTTTTAATTTCCGTGGTCGATGTTTCAACACACGCCAAATCACCATTAACGCATACAACAAACCAAATTACGAAACGCTCGCTACACTGCATTGATTTTAAAACTTTTTCCTCTGAATATAAGAGTCACGCACTTGGGTGCTCGTTCTAGGAGCCATGGAAAATTTAAAATTTATTATTATTATTATTTCCCGTTATCCACCAGATTTTCGCAAATAACGTTCGTAAGTATTACTCAAGGAACTCAAGTAAGTTCTGATAGTACAATTAGTGCCATATCAAAGATATTACAGACTCATTCCAACACGGGAACGCGTGCGGGCGTCGATGTCATCAAATTTTAAGTAATTTGATGCCACTGTATATACTGTACGTACCTATTCATATACACGCATTAATATATGACATGATAAAAATGAACAAATTTCTTTTTTTTTTTTTTTGCTTTTAGTAATATGCCAAGAACTTCTATTACTGTAACCAACAATTAATAATACACATCTTCATAAAGAATGCCAACGTATACTGTACTTTTATCATTTTTTGTTCTGTGATTAACTTTCTACCCAAATAAGAACGTGCTGAAAAATTCCTTAATTTGCAATAACTTCCCGGTCAAAAACCAATCGAATAAAAAAATTGACCTATTTACAAGAGGTATTGCTTCGAAGCTTAAAATTGACTATAATACCATATTAAGGATTTATAAAAGTATTTGAAGTATTCTGTAGGGGGTAATTGCGACGCGACATACTGTATTTGCGGCACAAGAATATTAGTTCAAGAATCATGACCCAGCCGCCCATTGTTCGCCAAATGAACACATTAGGTAAGTTACGCGCCACAGAGTTAGATAGTAAGTGACTATGTATAAAGTGTGATAACAAGCGGCTCAACGGTAGAATAGTAAGTTTAGTAGCATTGCCAATTAATTACGTAAAAGGGAATAAAATACGTATGTGTAGAAGTGCTTCGAATCTAGAAAATTTGTGATTTTTGATGTCTAGAAATGAATAAAGGATCATTTTAGAACTCACCCAAATCCATTGCCTCATGCCTTACACACTTGACGATACGCGTGGCCACACGAGACTCGCCCATTGCCACGAGACGCTGTAATCAAAAGCCATAAGCAGAACATACCCATTCTCCAAATGATTATTAAGAATGTGATATTGTATATTTTATTGCCTCCAAATGGTTTGATAATGTCATAGAAGTTAAAAAGGATATTAAAGAATATCAAAAAATAGATATTTTAACACAAACAATTTAAAATATGCCAAAAGGAACATAAGAATCAATGATAGAAGTTATTAAAATACATAAGGGTTGTGAGAAACGATGTAAGATTAAATACTTTGTTTTTATCGTCATATAAATGTATACTACCGATTAAAAATCATATATGTTTGTTAAATGTTATACGGTATATTGCATGAATTCTTATAAGACAATGTTATGATCACTTAGTATCTACAATACTGAGAATAATGACCGGGTCTACCACAATTATAACATCTATAGCTGCAGTCCCCCGGAAGATGATTCCCTTTATAGCATTTGTGACATACGTAACCACAACAACAATTTCTGCAACCGCATTTGGAGCAACTATCGCATTGGAAAGCCCAATGATCATATTTGCCGCAACGAAAACATATGTTTTTCAAATCTTCATAAACAGACGGGTGCAAATTCCATTGGGAGTGTTTAGCGCCTCTTACATTATTAGGGCCGTGCCTTTTCATGTACTCTATGGTTTTGGCCAATTCTAAAAGATGGTTATTGGTAAGCCCTACCCATGCGATACTGATTGGTCTATATTTGCGTGTCCATAAGGCGGCACGACGTCCTCCACTCATATGTTCATTGTACCTATTTCTCATATTACTAGTTTCACCGACATAATATTTGCCATTACGACACCTCAGAACATAGACGTAATGCATCTTGAATCAAGTTGTTATTTTGGATGTTTGAGACGTTTGCTGTATTTATACAACAGCGTAAGTAGAAGAGATAAGAAAACGAGTTTTATTTATATTAAAGTTTGGAAGTCAAAAGTAATTAAGTTTAACCGCAAGTACGTAATTTACGTGCACGAATGTCGATCTGGAACTATGTGGCACGAGACACTAACAGCCCTAGCGCCTTGACGACCCTTAAAGACAAGTTCTGGTAACACAACCATAACACGTGATCAACATACATTTATGGTAACGAAAGACGCGACACACTTATGTTATGAATCACAAACAAGCTCAGAATGGTTTAAACCGATGCGCCGAATTACGTACACGCCACAAATAAAACAATGGGTGGCTGCAAAAGGTCATTATTTTAACATAGCAAATTCGTTTAAATAGTTATATTAGTTTAATCTATTAATTTTTTATTACATTATTAATTCAAATTATAAATTGATTTATTATTAACCTGGGCGGGCTATTCTCTAGTTTATATTTGTTAAAAATTTAAATTGAATAATTATATTAGATTGATTTATTTGATTAGTTATATTAAAACGGCTTATAGTTTTAACATTATTCTAAATTTAAATATATTTACTCAAATAGATTTTTCTTAACAATCCTTTCTTAGGATAAATATATTTTATTAAATATTTGTAAATTATACAATATATAATTTTATACATTATTAAAGATAACTCTTCAACCAATTTCTTCCTAGTTTAAACAACTCTAAATACAACTTCAAAAATAATTTATCATCTCAAAACTCTTTTAATTACTTAATATTATTATTTGCAAATTATTAATACAAATCATTTTTTTATAAAAATAAAATGTAATTATTTTATTTTCTATCTGATTTTATTTTTTGTAATTATTATAAAATTTATATTATTAATCTATCTATTTGTTTTATCTCTTAAGCATTAAATATATAGAACTAAAGAGTTATTGTAGAAAATTATCAACTTAAAATCTAATATTATATATAAAAGTTTTTATATTGAATAACAATAAAAAGTTTATTACTTATAGTTAAACAATAGTAATGATATATTATTTTTCAAAAAATTTTAAAAGAATTTCTAGATTGAAAATAATAAAATTATATTATTTTTATTTAATTTAAGTTATAATCACTTATTTTTATTATAGGTTTTACCTTTGTTTTATTATTCAAGTAATATATACTTTACATTTATTATATAAAAAATGAGTAAAGATAATCTGATTATCAAATAATATATAGTATATTTTGCTTTTTTTTTTTTTTTTAATTCCCTATCAGTTTAATTATATGTATTTTATGAAATATTGAACAAGCAATATAAATAATATATATCTCTAAAGGTAAATTTCTAACTATTATACTTATATTGATTTTTTATTATCTTAAATACAATTTTAAAAGTAATTTATTATTTTATTAATAGTTTAAATAAAAATTTTTTCAACTTCTAATATAATTGTTTCTAGATTATCACCATAGATTATTATTTCATACATTAACAAAAATCAAAATTCTAACTATTTTATTTTACATTTAATGCCTTTATTAAGATTATCTTTAATTTTGTATTTTCTGGATTTTTTTCTTTTGATTTTAATATTTTTTTTATTGAAAATGTGTTTTTTTGATTTAATAAACTTAAAAATTTTTTATTTTTTATTTTATTTTTTATTTTTTTTTTTATAGAAAAAAATTAAAATAATTGTATTGAAATTATTAAATAAGTTATTATTAATTAAAAATAATATTAAGTTTTTTTTTAAAATACTAGCTCATTCCTATACCAGTTTGAAAACTTTATTATAATTAAGATGAGTCCTAGAGACAACTGGGATAAGTAATTATCTATATTGTCTAAGGATTTACAGATCAACAAATAGTACAAGGGGCATCTATTTATATTTTATCCAATCAGAATAAGATAGCTATACAACTATCTAATGTAGGACTGTTTTTTAATTCTAATTAAACTAAGGATTAAGAGAAGTCATTATATATTCAATTTAATAAAGTGATCCCATTATATTAATACCTTTATTACCCGAAATAGCACTTCCTAGGACTGTAATCTACTGTATAACTTGTTACTATCCCCTATTTTTAGGAAAACTAACATATGAAGAACTTACCTAAGATACCTAACATCACTAGGTTGAAGATCTCTTATATAAAATCTTCTATTGATTCCATTAATATTTCAAGATTTTTTAGAAAACTTGTTATATATCTGATACCTATCTTGTTACTTGATTGAAGCTCAGTTTTATATAAAAGATATCAATCTCTCAATTGTTAATCTTAATTATTAGAGCCTGTTTTATGTCTTTAATATCACACTAAATTAAATTTCTTTGTCTGATTATGGGCATGTTTGGTCATTTCTATAAATAATTGAGTTCTTCTTCTTCTATCTTAAGAGTAATTAGTGGCAACTCTTTCCACTAATCCTTTAACCATACACAAAAAAGATTTTCACAAGAGAAATTTTGTTCCTTCTCACTAATAAAGCCTTAATACTCTCCTTAAACCAACCTGAAGTTAGTCTTCAGAAGTTATCTTACTTCCCCTCTTTTCTTGTTATATCTTACTTTATACAAATCTCAACCTCTTGAGATCAAAAAAAATTAAGCAACTACCTTTTCTACTAATGACAAAAAGGTTCTGAAAGGAAGAAGAACTGACATACAATCGTCTCATACTATAAAAAAATACTACATAGTCTAATATGGGAGCAAGAGACTCACTTCTACCTTTTACTCTCATGAGTTGACTATAAGAGGGCTCGTTTCAAGATTTTTTCTGAGGAATTTTGTCTACTTTAGTTTGATCCTGAATTTTGAATAGTATAAAGTTTCTCACACTATGATTGAACACAACTAAATATGTTAGAAAAGAAAAAATAAACAAGCTTCCATTGATCATCTCACATGTTTGAATGCATTTCCTTAATTCCATAAGAACCTAAGGTCCATCATAAGTTATTGGGTTGGTACAGGTAGATAAGGAACACTACCAACTTCTACATTATTGATGAAATAAAAGAGAAGGAACATACCTCTCTTCTCACCTATCTAGAAAAATAGATAAAGACAAGACTCAAAGGAATATAAAATGAGGACAATGTCTTAAAAGTGTTATGCCTATCTTTTATTGCAAGCTTATTGAGAGATCAGGGAAATCTTAGGATCATTCGTATCTAATTATCAATACTAACTTGCAGTCACTGGACCAAAGATGTCTGAAGAATATGCCAAGACCATAGACAATGGTTCAATCTCTATGGATGGTAGTACTCTGAAGAAAACAGCATAGTATTTATCAAGTCTGCCAGGACGTATGCTGGAAGTATTAAGATTTTCCTTTCTAGGATAGAGTTATCACAATGGTAAAAAAGAATAGACTGACAAATGATGGGTTTCAAACTTTCTCTTCTTCTTTCACCTCCCCTATATCCTAGAGTCCACACAAAACCTCTAACTTGTCATCACTCAGAAGAACACATATAGAAGATCTTATACTAAGTAGGATATAGAAGAAATGAGACCAGAACTAGTAAACAATAGTCAAATATAACTAAACTATTTCCCTCAATCCTCCAGTATCTTTTTTGTAATACAAAATCTTCATTCCTGTTTAAGTTTATACAGCATTGCCCCCTTATTTATAAGAATAGTTAGCTTGAGAAGTTTGGTAGGGTATTGAATATACTTTTGGCAAGTGAATCTTAAACTTTAATTAACAAATTTTCTAAATAGCAAAACACAACTAGAAACACAACTTTTCTTTTCTTTTATTTCTTTTTATACATATTTGAAATTTATTTCAGCATTAGTAGGGCTATATACTAATCCTTTGATCTTTAAAGAGGTGGCCTAACCATAAGGTAAAGTAACCCTTAAAGGAGATCTTTTATTGTTTTTACTTTATTAAACAAGAAAATTCAGATGTATAGTGTTTGAGTTAAACTTAATTCCATCTATTTATGAGTTTCAATAAAGTATAGTAAAGCCAACGTTAAAAAAAAAAAAAAAAATCTTAAGGGTAATCAGTTTTGTATTTGGAACCTCATACTGCTTATTTTGATCATATTTGTGAAATCTTGTATTGTATCTTATCTTGTTATGGCTATAATGAATTAATAGGATCCTTTTTTATTTCCTGTTAGAATATCTAAAACTAATTATATATGAAGGACTCATATCAATCATGCTAGTCTCATATAGAACCTTGCATTAATTTAGTTATTCTTATTATAGACATAATAAGCAAACAAGTTCTTCTTATTGCCTTGTTGAGGCACTTGATTATTATCATGAGAGAGATGAGATCTTTGTATTACCTTGTGGCTTAATTTTCCCTTGATCCTTATATGATATTGAACTCTGAATCTTGATTATGATTTAAAAGTACTATCATTGTACTATAAACCTATAGATTCTAAAAACAATATTAAGTTATTTTTATTTAAATAAAAAAAGTATATATATATTTGTACAGTTTCTTCAAAAAATAAGATCTAATTTTAAAATTGAAATTAAAATTTTATAAAATTATATTTTACTTAAAAAAAATTTTTTTAGCTAATATTTGATTGTTCTTTCCTTTGTTTATAAAATAATATTGAGTATAAAATATTATGAAGAATAAATATATTAAATTTTTTTACTTCTTTATCAAAATAATTTTTAAGTTATTTATTATTTTTGAAAAATTATTATATTTTTTTACATTGTTTTTTAATAGTTTTTAAATATTTTTTATCAAATTTAGATCAAGTAAATTAATTGACTAATTAATTATTTCAATTTTATTTGTTTTGAACCATTTGAGATAATTTATACAATGTGAATAAATATATTGGTTTATTGAAAAATAGAATTTATTTTTATTAATTATTGTATTCTGTATTGAAATAATTAAAGCTGAGTTTTTAAAAGTTGAATATAAGTATTTGAATTAATTCTTT